TTTGTCGTGGTATTCTCTTCTCCCTGCCACCTTGATAGGTTCCATTTAAATAAAACAAAAACATTTTTATTGACTTCAGAGAGGAAGGGAGAGGGAGAGGTAGAAACATTAATGATGAGAGAGAATCACGCCCCATATTGGACATGTGCCCTGACGGGGAATCGAACTGTGGCCTTTCATAGGTCGATGCTCAACCACTGAGCCACGCCCGCTGGGCCTGACATGTTCCATTTTTTAAGGAAAAATGGAAATATGAAATCCCCTGGTATCAAGTGAACAAAAGGCCAAGGCACCTTGAAAACTATCATGACCAACACTCAAAACCAAGGCCAAAATCATAAACCATACATTTGATAAATTGAGCTTCAAAGTCGAAGGTTTATGCTTCCTCTCTTCTATTCCCTGGATGATTTAATTAATGAACCTGCCACTTTTTCAGAGTTCTCCTTCACCTGTGTCACTGAACTACTTTTGAGTCCTCCCAGGTGGCAAATTATCCATGCAGCTTGAGCGCTAAGTGGAAAAGAGCATCTCTTACTAGCACTCTTGGAGACTGTTTTAGAGTTAAGTAAATTTTGTCTTACAAGATTGGGCATGTTTTTGTTCAGAAGAATTGGAAAGTGTATTTTCCAGTGATACGAATAGTAGTATTAGCATTTGAAAATAACAAATTAAAAATATCGTGGTCTTAAGTATATTAAGTACATAAAATCCTGTAAACAATTTTGATGACACGTTATTTAAACTGTTAAATTGATTTTGAAGAATTTTTGTCTTTTGGGGAGATATTTGATATCATGGTAATGTTTTTTAAAAGACTTGTTTTCTTTCATAAATACTACAATATTTATGAATGAAATGACATAATTTCTGGTTTTTGCTTCAAAGTAATATGGGAGGGCCATCTGTGTCAGGGCACAGAAAAAAACACGTGTCCAGCAGTTGATTATTGTTGAAGCTGGAGAAGGAGGCCTTACGGTCTCATAATACCCATCTGCCAACTTTTGCATATGTTTATGATTATCCCTTACAAAAGAATTTCAAACATTGGGTAAAATATTACATGAATTAGTACCGTCAAATCCCAAGTTGCTGGAAAAGACTGTCAACACAAATTTAATTACTGTATCCTCATATTCCATTAAGGCAAGATTCATGACTTAAGCTACTTTATATCTTTTATGTGTGATATTGTAGGAGCTCAATATGATTTTTGGATGAATTAGTGATCTTTATTCTTGTTATTATAATAAATTTGCAGTGAATCACTTCCAGCAAATATCACATATCCACATAAACTATACTTTATTTATTTATTTATTTAATTTTTTAAAAATATATTTTATTGATTTTTTACAGAGAGGAAGGGAGAGGGATAGAGAGTTAGAAACATCGATGAGAGAGAAACATCGATCAGCTGCCTCTTGCACACCCCCTACTGGGGATGTGCCCGCAACCAAGGTACATGCCCTTGACCGCAATCGAACCTGGGACCCTTGAGTCCGCAGGCTGACGCTCTATCCACTGAGCCAAACCGGTTAGGGCGACATAAACTATATTTTATTTAAAAAACTCAGTAAGTAGCACTTACCAATCGGATTATTTCAAGCAAAAACCTAGAGTCATCCTTGATTTCTTCCTTTACTTCATGCTCCATATCTGGTTCATCACCAAACCCCATTTGGTTCACTTCCATACAGAACCCCTGCCTACCTCTGGCTACCTAGTTCCATCTTCTGTCATTTCCTGCCTGGAAAACGGCCACAGTTAGATGCCAGTGGTGGTGAGAACAGGTGCAATCCAGAGTCATACTATTCTCCTAGTTTCTGCTTTTGTTCTTCTACTGTTCATTCTACAGGAAGAGTATGACTGATTTTTTAATGTAATTTGGGGTATGTCACTCATCATAAAACCAGTGATTCATATTGAACGTAGAATACAATTCACACTTCTTATCACAGCCAACAAGGCCTGTGTGTTCTGGCTGGTTTCGGAGGTGTTCCAGTCACCCAATTCTGTTCTCTGAACACAGGCACATTGGGCACCTTCTGCCCTGGGGCCATTATCCTTGTTTCCTTTGCATGCAGTCCCTTCCCCCAAGTTCTCCGCATGACACGCCCTTTAGTTCTCAGTTTAAGTTGTCACCTCCTCAGATACCTTCTCTGGTGTCATAACTGATTACAGCCTGCCTGGTTTATTCACTTGTGTATCATAAATTGCCTCCAATAGAAGTCCTGTCTCTCTCTTCATCTCTCCAGAGTCCATCATACTGCCTAACCCATAAAAACCGCATTTCATTGAAATCTAAGGCATGATCAATTATAGGATACAGTATTATATTCTGAGCCACCAAGAAAATAAAAGCACTGCAAATTAAACTATGGCATAATGCCATAGTTTTAAAGACTGTTGATTGTAAGATAATCTTGACTTCTGAGATATTACAATGTTGAAAAAAATTCATGCTTGAATTGATGAAATACGTTATCTTGTTGAGTAAATGAATGTACTTTGCTTATTCATGATGACTTGTTTGCTAGTGATTTTTTTCAGGAAGTTATTCTGAGAAAAGATAGACTTGTAGAGGCCAAGAGATATAGGCCATGAATAGCATTTTATTATGAAAAGACGGATATTGTTTGTATGAAGAGGTATGAGTAATTCAAAGGATTGTATGAGTAATTGTTCCAAATTGCCAGTGACTAGCTTATCAGCAATGATTAAAATTTTGTAGGTGCTTTGTGGGCCAGTAAACTTGAATTTTCAACAAACACTTCAGGCGACTCATGCCATTGTCCTGGAAGTAGATTTGGGCCCTACACTGTAAAAGAAAGGAAGACAAAAAAAAAATATGGGGGCAGTTAGCAGTGGAAATATGAGGAAATATGATCATAGTGCTTCTGTTTAATAAAATATGAGATCATTTGACTCAATGTAGTGGGGTAGGGATTTTGGAGCTTTCAGAAAGAAGGTATGGAATAGGCAAAATGCAGACAGTGTGAAAGCATAAGGAAATTATGTGTTCTATGGAGATGGAGTAGATTGGCAGACAGATTTGAGAAACACTTTAGAAGAAAAGGTATTTGGTTGGATGTTAGATGGCAGGTATCCTAATGCGGTGTAGTAACAAACACTGCCACTGGAGGAGTAACCTGATAACCCACTCCCCGTAAGCTCCCTTACAGTCGTGGTCCCTAAAGGATATTCCATTCCCGTAAGATCTGACTGTTCCTGGGTAGCTGTGGAATTGCTGCTTCCATTGTTATCATTTCTATAGTTCGAACAAATAAATTTATAGTTGAGGGAGGCCAGATTAAAACATGGACCTGGGACAAAAAGTATTCCGGCTGGTACCCCCTAACGTATGTTCCTTCCCAATAAATAAGAGTCACTGAGATGGCCCAAGTGGTGAGCCCCTTCTGTGTGGAATGGAAAGAAGTCATCTTTTACATGCTAAGACCACAGTTTTCCATTCTCACAGGAAAACGTCCAGACGTCCAGGATGGCTTCATGCTCTGCTGCTCTGCCCTTGTGCTCTGATCTGTCTGTACAGCCTCATCTTTCTGAACTACACATTGCACTCAGTCTTCCTGCTCATCGTCCAGTGCCGCTGAGGCTGCCATCTTTAGCTTAGGGTGCATGTACCTGAGGACATATTGGATCCACTGGGCGTGTGGGAAAGATATGGGTGTCCCTCCTGCAGGGCGCTCTGTGCTCTTTACCTCCAGGCCTTTGCCCCTGCTTTGTCTTCTGTCGGTGGAAACATCTTGTATGTTATCTGACAAAGTCCTGCTAATCTTAAGATCTCACTTGAAACCTCACTTCTTCCAAGAAGCCTCTTCTGAAACTTCCGAGTGTGAGGTTACCAAGCCTCCCCCGTATCCTCCCTGACACTCTGTTAGCCATATTCACCACTTTGTGTCACAGCTGCCTCTTTACCGAGACACACGTGCAAAGCACCAGTGTCTAACCCAGTCCCTGGCTCAGACATGGGCTGGACAAATGTCGACAGAATGTGAAAAAAGGAAACATTTATTCATTTTTAAAATGTCTTATCCATCTCATTAAGCCAGTTTCTTATAATAGCACACATAGTTTCTGTCTATTTAAAAATCTTCAGGGGACTTCTGTCTTGAGCTATAAATGAAAATGATTTGTGATAAAGCATAATGTGGGATATAATAACATTATCATAACTTAACGATGTAATAAAAGCTGATTGCAAGTATAGGCAGACTCATAAAAAATAGAAAAAACCATTTGGGGCAAATATTTGAAAAACCTCTGTGGATCCTGCTTTGTACAATAGTAGCATAAAAGGAAGTAGTAATTTACACTTTCAGCAGGTAGTTTTTAAATTACACATATAGATATATATATTCATAATCTCTTTTTTGTCCTTTTAAAGTGGTTGCATGTGCCTGAAGTTTAGTGCTGACATGTTCTGGGGTAAGGTTGAAATATCTGAAATACCTTGTCATTCCAGCTGTTCCCTTAGTGGCTTTCTCACCCTGGGGTTTCCAGAGAGTGGGATGATAATTTGCTACTTTGGTGAGCCTGTGGTTTAGGCCCATTGACATTCACAAATACTATAATAGGAGAGAATGCTTAAAGTCCAGTGGTTCTCAACCTTCCTAATGCCGCGACCCTTTAATACAGTTCCTCATCTCGTGGTGACCCCCAACCATAAAATTATTTTCGTTGCTACTTCATAACTGTAATTTTGCTGCTGTTATGAATCGTAATGTAAATATCTGATATGCAGGACGTATTTTCATCGTTCGCGACCCCACAGGTTGAGAGCTGCTGGACACACTACAAATCATTTTGGTACTGCTCAATATAGGTACCAATGTGCTTAGCATTTACCATGTTAGGAACCATGAAAAAATAACAGAAAATTCTTTTCTGTAATCATGAAAAAATACTATGTGAAGAAAAAGAAGAGAGATGCAATAACTGATGACTTTGTTTTCTCTCCCATCTTCTCTCCCTTGCAGGTACAGCTTGGCCAAGTAGAAATCAAATGCCCCATCACAGAATGCTTTGAATTCCTGGAGGAAACAACGGTTGTCTATAACCTAACGCATGAAGACTCCATAAAATATAAATACTTCTTGGAACTTGGCCGTATCGATGCCAGCACCAAACCATGCCCTCAATGCAAGCACTTTACAACCTTCAAGAAAAAAGGACATATTCCCACCCCTTCCAGATCAGAAAGCAAATACAAAGTAAGCATGTTCACCAGAGTTGTGGGTTAGATGTCACATGATGGGAGCAGCCAAAGTAGGCCAACTTGTGGTGGGCATTAAGTGGGCTTCCTTCCCTACCCGTACTCTAAGGTGAGTGTCTATTGGCTCTGATTCTGAAAATGTGTGGTCTGGGGAGGCGGATAATCAGAGAGCACTCTTGAGGATGTAATGAAGGTTTTCCTTTGACTTTAACCATGTTTCACATTCATCTAGAAGCATAATTGAAAGGCTAATCTTTAAAGAAATTGTCCTTACTATTACTAAATATTAAATAAAGATTAAGGCTTTTTAAATTTACTATAAGTTTGAGTTGTTCATAGACCCAATATGAATCCCGTCTGGCTCTGTTGGTAATAAGAGAAAATAGTATAAAATGCTGTTCAATCATTTATGCAGCAAATACAAAATGTCAGTATTCGCTAGGCAGTGTGTTAAGTTTGGGGGATACAGAGGCAAATGAGACATACACCTTGCTTCAAAAAAATGCCTAATCATGATGAGAGACATGTGCTCTAAAATAACACTTCCATATGACTAAACAGCAAAACCAGACAAACAAACGTGAATCCCGTGCACTTGTGCTTTGAGAACATGATGGGGGGCTGGGGGTTAGGACGTTAGGAGAGGCTTCATAGAGAAGACACTCTCCAGGCAGATAAACAGATAAAAACAGCGGAGAGCATTTCAGAGCAAGAGATGAGTCAGTGCTCAGCCCAGAGGCTGAGGCTAACGCGTGTGGAAAACAAGAGCTGGTGGAGCTTGTGGAGAGAGTGGGAGGCAGCTGGTCAGGCGTTTAAGAGCAGATCCTGTTGAGGCTTTTACGCTGTGCTCAGGAGTGTGACTTTAATTCTGTAGGCCTTACAGGAAGATCGTTCTGGCAGTGTTAATAGAGGATGTCACAGGAGGGCAGACTGAAGGCAGAGAAGCCTAAGGCAGCCACTCTGGGAGCGAGTCCGTAGTTCACAGCCTTGACTGCACGTTGGAATCACCTGGAGCGCTTTTAGACACCAGGGCCCCAGGCCCACCCCAGAACGGTTGTCTGGCAAATTTTTGGGCCTCACTAGGTAACACTAAGATGCAGCAGCACTGGGAACTTTGCCGTAAAGGAAGCGGAAAAGTGATGAGGCTGCGGCAGTAGTTTTCATCCTTGTCATTACAGCAGAATGGCAGGATGAAGTGGTCTCAAAGGCTGTTTGAAGTCATCTCCATTGAAGGTAAGTTTTCACCCATGTTCCGTGGCTTGGAAGAAATAGATGCTGCATTATTCATTCTGTAGCTCTGAGGGGACCATGGCTTAGCTAGTAGTTTCCTCCATACCATTGTAGTGATGAGCTAGACTAGGTTAGTGAAAGCCTCTTAAAGGCCCACTGGTTTTTGAATCTGCTAGACCCTCATAGTTAATTTTTTATTTTCTAACTAGAGGCCTGTTGCACGAAATTCATGCAAGGGACTTGGGGGTCCCCTCCCCGTACCCCCTGACTGCCGCAGTGGCTGTCTCTGCCTCAGCCCCCACCACCACGGCTTTGTCCGGAAGGACATCCAGTCTAATTAGCATATTATGCTTTTATTATAGATCAGTGATGGCGAACCTATGACATATGTGTCAGAGGTGACACACCTCATTTTTTTGGTTGATTTTTCTTTGTTAAATGGCATTTAAATATATAAAATAAATATCAAAAATATAAGTCTTTGTTTTACTATGGTTGCAGATATCAAAAAATTTCTATATGTGACACGGCACCAGAATTAAGTTAGGGTTTTTCAAAATGCTGACAAGCCGAGCTCAAAAGGTTTGCCATAACTGTTACAGATTTTGTGCATGTTTGTCTCTTTAAGGCATAACTGTAAGGAAGAAAAAAACTTTCATTTTTTTCTTCTCTTAAAAAGTGATTTTGAATGCTGACTTAGCAATAGAATACTTTTATTTCATTGTATATATTCTTAGGTTATTTTTATTCCAATTCTATGTTATTCCAATTTCTGATACTGTCAGGAATTACTTGTTTTAGAAGGACTTATTATTTCATAATGTAGGATATTTAATTTTTTCTAAATTACATTTAGAATTATATATTACACAAATTATATAACATACATTTATATAATTTATATATTTATAATTTATATATTTACAAATATATATATAAACTCAGACTATTACTATTTTAGAATTTGTATCAATTAAAATATCTATACACTAGAGGCCTGGTGCACGACATTTGTGCACTCGGGGGTTGGGGGGGGTCCCTCAGCCCCAACTGCACCCTTTAACAGTCTGGGAGCCCTCGGGGGATATCCGACTGATGGCTTAGGCCTGCTCCCTGCAGGCCAGCAGTCAGACATCCTTAGGACTGCTACAGAGGCGAGAGAGGCTCCCATCACTGCCACTGAGCTTGCCAGCCATCAGCCCGGCTTCTGGCTGAGCAGTGCTCCCCCTGTGTGAGTGTACTGACCATCAGGGGGCAGCTCCTGCATTGAGCATCTGCCCCCTGGTGGTCAGTACACCTCATAGCTACCAGTCATTCCACTGTTCAGCCTATTTGCATATTACCCTTTTATAGGATAATTGAATCAAAGTGGATACAATTTAAAAATATATTGCTTTATGGAATGAGTAAAAGGCGATATAATTTAAGATGCAATTATAGCAATAGTGAACTGTTACAGGTTTCATTTCATCCCAAATTGCCAAATTATCTTATAATGAGCATAATTTATCACAATGCACATTATTTCATATAGAAAATATTAAAATTATAGGACCCTATCCTATCTAATAAAAGAGAAACATGGTAATTAGCTGTACGTCCGCTACCCTTCCCATTGGCTAATCAGGGCGATATGCAAATTAACTGCCAGCCAAGATGGCAGCTGGCAGCCAGACAGCTTGAAGCGAACATGAGGCTTGCTTGCTTCAGTGATGGAGGACTCCAACGTTCCCCGCCTGCTGCTGCTGGCCTCTGAGCTTGCAGTTTGAAACATTGTTACAAATATAGAAGCTAAACAAAACCCCAGAAACCTGCTTTCAGCCAGCCGGGATCTCAGAGCTGGAGTTGAAACAGTGTTTCCATTATAGATCCCAAACAAACCAGATACCTGCTTTCAGCAGCGGAGACCTAAGAGCTAGAGCCAGAGCTAAAGCTGGCCCAGAATAAAAAAAAGAAAAAAAAAGGAGCGGTTGGGAGCTTCAGTCACCCGCCAGCCTAAAAACAGCCCTCAGCCCCTCACCCAGACTGGCCAGGCACCCCAGTGGAGACCCCCACCTTGAAGGGTGTGTGACCAGCTGCAAACAGCCATCATCCCCTCACCCAGGCTGGCCAGGCACCCCAGTGGGGACCCCCACCCTGATCCAGGACACCCTTCAGGGCAAACCAGCTGGCACCCACCCATGCACCAGGCCTCTATCCTATATAGTAAAAGGGTAATATGCCTCCCAGCACTGGGATCAGCGGAGCCACGAGGCCTCCTGGCACTGGGATCAGCGTGACAGGTTAGCGCCCAAACCCCCTGATTGCCCTGCGGCTCTGTGTGTGACAGGGGGCGGGGCCACAACCTCCCTATCCGCCCTGCTCTGTTCATGACAGGGGAAGGCGCCCCAACCCCCTGATCAGCCCTGCTCTGTGCCTGATAGGGGGGAGCTCCCCAACCCCCTGATTGCCCTGCAGCTCTGTGTGTGACAGGCTGCGGTGCCCCAACCCCCTGATCGGCCCTGCTCTGTGTGTGACAGGGTGCGGCGCCCCAATCCCCTGATCTGCCCTGCTCTGTGTGTGACGGCGTGCCCCACTCCCCTATCAGCCCTGCTCTGTGTGTGACAGGGGGGAGCTCCTCAACCCCCTGATTGGCCTTGCTCTGTGCGTGACAGGGGGTAGCTCCCCAACCCCATGATGGGCCCTGCTCTGTGCGTGACGGGGGGAGCTCCCCAACCCCCGATCGACTCTGTTCTGTGCGTGACAGAGTATGGAGCCCCAACCCCCCTGATGGGCCCTGCTTTGTGAGTGACAGGGGGCAGCGCCCCAACCCCCTGATTGGCCCTGCTCTGTGCGTGACAGGGGGTGACGCCGCAACCTCCCCATCGACCCTGCCTTGAGTGTGACAGGGGGCGGTGCCCCAACCCCCCAATCGGCCCTACCCTGAGCGTGACTGAGGGTGGCATCGCAACCTCCCGATCCGCCCTGCTCTGTACGTGACAGGGGGTGGCACCCCAACTCCCCAATCAGCCCTGCTCTGAGCCCGACCAGGGGCCGCACCTAAGGATTGGGCCTGTCCTCTGCCACCCGTTAGCAGGCCTAAGCCAGCAGGTCGTTATCTCCCGAGGGGTCCCAGACTGCGAGAGGGCACAGGCCGGGCTGAGGTACCCCCTTCCCCTCCCCCCCCCGAGTGCACAAATTTTTGTGCACCGGGCCTCTAGTATTTGTATAATTCTGAATGAACCAAGGGCACTCTGATAACATTTCCCAATATCAGGCTTCCTCCAATGTCTTGTCAGTGCAGTAGTTGTAGGTAAGAAGAGAAGCAGGGGGCAAATGGATCAAAGTCTCAGATCTAATAAACTTGGTTTTCTTCTTTTGGTGGGCACAGAAGGAAATTTATGGAGGGGGGAATTCAATACAAAATAAATGTTACTGCCCAACTAGTGTGGCTTAGTGGTTGAGTGTGGACCTATCGGTTCGATTCCCGGTCAGGGCACATACCTGGTTTGCGGGCTCAATCCCCAATGTGAGGTATGCAGGACGCACCAATCAAAGACTCTTTCTCATCATTGATGTTTCTATCTCTCTCTCCCTCTCCCTTCCTCTCTGAAATCAATAAAAATATATATTAAAAAAAATATACACACAAATAAATGTTACTGATTATGCAGCAGTTAAAATCCACAGAAATGGGTGAGGGATGAAAATCTCAATATAAAATTAAACTATTAAGCAACTTTCAAGAAAAATAAAGCTACAGAGAACTGGAGGATCCTTATGGCTGTT